TTCGTGTCCGGCAACGGATCGCAACCCTCAGTGTCGCTCCCCTACCGGACCGGGACCGGCAACGGGATCGCAACCCTCAGTGCTGCGCCCGCACCTCGCTCAGCCAGCGAGCGGGAACCGGTCTGTATGTGGGATCCGAACCCTCGGCCGGAGCGTCGCCACGCTCCCAAGCGGCGCACTGTAGCAGTGCACCACCGGGCCGGCCCCATACATTAGCTTTTTAACAACCATTTCACAGTTTACTTTTGTGCTTTTATGGAGTTGTACTCAGTTGAAACCTATAAATCTTTTTTATATAAGCTGCTATCAGTCAAGGTTTTCTGCATTTTTGTAGTTGTATAAATTGATTTTGAGCACCCAAACCTCTTAAATATCAGTTTATTTTGTTCCATCATTATAAAATATTGGGATATTTTTTCAGTCCTGATTCTGTTATCCTATTGATGGTTATATATTGACTGTTTTTAAATTGTAATTGCATATCTCCCCTTGCCCCCCATAAAATTATAAGCTATTTGAGAACAAAGCTTGTAACTTCTTCATCCTTGTATTCCAACTATATCTCAAGGCCTAACATAGTTCTGTCACATGGCAGGCAGTCATTAAGTAGTTCAGTGGCAGAAACAAGTTAGGAAGATTTAATAAGCTTGCCATTTTAGATTTTTACCAAGTTATTAATAAAAATATTCCTTGAGAATAGCCAAAAAGAAGGAAATTCATTTGGAAAGTAGATCAGTTGACAAGAAAGTAGACAAGATTTCACAATGTTTCACATGTTTCACCGCTGCATATGTTCTCAGCAGCAAATGTGACTCATGAGTAAGTTAAGGTTCGAGCAGCCAAAGCACATATGCCACTCTTTAGAACCATGGCGATGTTACAGCTTTGTGAATAAATAAACAACCTTCTGGGCCGGCCTCGTGGTTCACTCGGGAGAGTGCAGTGCTGATAGCGCCAAGACTGCAGGCTCAGGTCCTATATAGGGATGGCCGGTGCGCTCACTGGCTGAGTGTGGTGCAGACAACACCGAGCCAAGGGTTGCGATCCCCTTACTGGTAATAAGTAAATAAATAAATAGATAAACAAACAAACAACCTTCCAAAATAATGTAGTCAATGTTTTTACTCACTAGTGCTTTGTCTGTCATTATTTATCACAGGCTAATGATTTGTAGAGTATTTGGGTATCCTGACAAGGGAGACTTTCAGAAAACAAAACAAAACGCCCGTTGTGGCTTAGGTTTGTTCAATTAATTAATCAGTGCTTATGAAATAAATATATGAAATTCTTTGGGAGAAATGGTTGATTATAAATTTAAGGAATATCTATTGCTATTGTGACCAGAGCGTAAGACTTTAAACTTCTAAAATAGGAACTTTTGTCTCGGCTTGGAAGTATGACCATTTCTTCCTTCAATAACCAATTCTTAATCATTATCTTAGCTTTTTGGAACCCCATTTCACCCTGACAGTATCATCTATAAATTCATAGCAATTCTCTAGTCATGTGGAAATAAAACAAAAATGGCAGCACTGGATAATTGTGTACCTGGTTCAAGTTGGAGCTTTTTCTCATTGTCCCTTCTTTTTCTTGTTTGATCTCTAACTCTATCCCTTCCGTTCCACTCTGTTTTCTATGGCACATTCACACATTTCAAGCTTTATTTGCTGATTGTAGCTTTACTGTCAAGAATTTCAAGACCTGGGCCAGCCTGTCGCTCACTCGGGAGAGTGTGGTGCTGATAACACCAAGGCCATGGGTTCGGGTCCCATATAGGGGTGGCTGGTTAGCTCATTGGGTGAGCGTGGTGCTGACAACACCAAGTCAAGGGTTAAGATCCCCTTACCAGTCATCTTTAAAAAAATTCAAGATCTGATGATTTATTGTAAGGATTGATATCTCCAAAATAATCAGGCAGGAAAGTAAAGAGAGCCTGGAAAGCCTTGAAACTGAGAACAAGCATCTTGTTCTTCCTATTAGCTATCAATTTTTCTTTTTTCATTTATTATAGAAACCAAATTATAAAATCTTAAAGAATATGTTGAAAGGAAGGATCGCAACCCTCAGTGTCGCCCCCATACCGGACCGGGACTGGCAACGGGATCGCAACCCTCGGTGTTGCTCCCGCCCCTCGCTCAGCCAGTGAGCAGCCGGTCTGTATGTGGGATCCGAACCCTTGGTGGGAGCGCCACTGCGCTTCCCAAGCGGTGCACTATAGCAGTGCGCCACCGGGCCGGCCCGAGAAGTTATTTTTTAGAAATTAATTACGTTATAAATATAACCTCGGCAAAAGGAACACTGATGGTCAGTGAATCAAAATAACTGTAGTATCTGTGTTTTTACATAATGGGATGGCAGGGCTGAGGAAGTAGATTTTGGCTTGCAAGTTGTGTTTCCAATTATTGAACCTGAGATTGGTGGAGAATTTCCAAACTTATTACAAAGAAAAA